TAATGACGTCACACGTTGTGCTGAATCAGCAATTTATATTTTCACATTTTTGCGTATAACTTCGGAACTAGATGAGATAGAATAGAGCATTAAACGGCCAATCGGCTTATTTTTTCATGCTCTTTCAGATGAAGCAATAAGATAGATGAAGCAATTTTTGTTGCCAATCTCCTTTAAGTCTCCCTAATTTGTGCCTCGTGGCCAAAATTGAAGTACAAACAACGCACAAATCTATTCGACATATGACATATCTGAAAGTCTTCGATTCGCGAGGCAATTTATATCGCAAACCACAACAATATTGGCAATATTGTCTACCACGCTTGAATTAGACAAAAGCGCGTATAAAATATATATAACTATAGATAGCTTTACCCAACACTATCACTTCTATTACACAGTTTAATGTTTTATTTATAGAGTACTACTTGACTCGGTCTCGACAGCTGCATTGTCTTGGTCTTAAAGTAAAATCATTACTAGAACAATCTAAACGTTTGATAATAACAAACTTACAGAAGCCTTACAAATTAAAACAATCAATCTGTATAAACAAAATATCAACATAACTTGGTGCCAGTTATAAAGTTACTACCATGCATTGAAAAAGTGTTGACAATTAACTATATGACACGACTAACAATATATTACTTTTTAAATAATTTTCTTTGCGTGTTTGATAAATGTGGTTTGTTTACGTTAGCTATTTTTAGTAATTCAGTTTCAGGAGTTCTTCTCGAGGGTCGAGGGTGGGAAGCAAGGGTCGAAAAATCATATATAAAAAAGTCGAGGGTCATATATAAAAAGTCCGGGGTCGTATTTCTAAAATATTTTATGGTTTTTATTGTCGAGGGTAGAAATTTGCGGGCATTCCCAATAGGTAAATTTGCAAGTGGGGCAAGCACAATAGCGAAAACAATACTTTGAAGATGGTGTCGCGAACCCGGAAAAGGCGTATGGCAATGGAAAGGTGTAAACAAGTCCTGATTACTTTGATTCAATAGACCATATAGACTGATACAATAATTTGCGACATGCAATCCGAGATAACGCAGATAATGCACCACGCCGTTTGAAAATATCTCGACTGTCGCTTTTTATCGGCATGTCTATTTTTATGTAGTAATATTTCGTCATATAAAAAGTAATCGCATATAAAAAATTAATAATTGCATATAAAAATAAGAGCTAAAAATTAAAAGTAAAGTAAGTGAACACGAACTTAAATTATTATTTTGTTAAATTATTAAAATGGACCCTCAAGCTTTTCACCCTCGAATTTCTACCCTCGACAATAAAAAAACCCATAAAATATTTGTAAAATACGGCCTCCGACTTATTATATACGACTTGAAAAAACACTCCTACGCATGTTTTAAATAGAACTTTTAATAAAGAACTAGATAGCTTTTATTAGAGATAATTAGTGTCACAATATCCTTTTATTTTTATGTTATAAAATATTATGATCATTGCATATGTTTTTAGTCACCTGGTCAAGTGGTGTAGTTCTCCCACTTTTCCAACTTTAATATGCTAAATATCATGCATTAAAGATACCTTCATTGCCGTATAGAAGCATACGTTAAAGTAGCTTTGCGCTTAGTTAAGGCCCTGTACCCGGAGTGAACGCCTGAGTAGGCGTCTTGTTATTTTTAATTCGCCCACAGAATTAAGTATTTACATTGTGTTTTTTTTATTTACTTCTATTATAGGGCTAGGAGCCTACTAGAAACCCGAACAGGCTTTTTATTAAGGCCCCTAGTTTATTTAATTAAATTAATATATAAAGTTTTTGGCAGTTCAAAACTTGAAACAAAATTAAGGTACTATACTAATTATACTAAAAATATGTACAAGTTTAATTCTAATTTTTTATATTTGCTATAAAATTTTATAATTTTATATAGCATCGTGTCTACATGACAGTAAAAACAATTGGCAGTAAAAAAAACAACTTCTTGTGTAGTTTTAAATCTGTAAGAAGTGTTTTTTAATTTGTCTTTTAAAAGTGATAGGTGATCTAATATGCTTGTATTATTTTTTTTCTAAACCATTCCAAATATCAACTCCTTTGTTCGAAAGAGTATGTTTTACATAGTTAGTTCTATTATAAGATTTATGAAGCTGAGATATTTTTCTTGTATTGTAGTGATGAACCTCGTTGTTAGTTTTGAAATAGTTCATAAATATTTCAGGTAGATTTTTTAAGTTGAAATATCGAAACATAAATAAACTTATTAAAAAATCGTTGACTTGATAAATATTTAGTATTTTTAAGTTTTTAAAAATTGTTTCACAATGTTCAGAGTATGATTTGAATGTCATTAATCGGATAATTTTCTTTTGTATGTTCATTAGTTTCTGTATTCTCGTTTTATAGGTACTACCCCAAATTAAATTGCCATAAATTAGATATGGATAGACTAATGCATAATAAATTAACTTCAAAGCATTTAAGTTGGTAAAGTGACGTATTCTAGAAATGATGCTCGAGGCTTTCATTATTTTCTTAGAAATTAAGTCAATATGATCCTTCCATGTTAGGCACTCATCAATAACAACACCTAGGAATGTTGTACTTTTAACCTGCTTAATTTTTTCGTTGTTTATAAATATTGTTATATTATGTCTTTGTTTCCTCTTGGATGACCTAAATAACATAAATTTAGTTTTTGTGGTGTTTAAAGACAGTATATTTGTATTTAACCAGTCAGATATTTTATTTATTTCAGTTTGCATAATTTCATTCAATTTTTTAAGACAAGTATGACTGTAAAATATATTCGTGTCATCTGCAAAAAGTATAATTGAAACTATTCTACTGCAATTTTGTATATCATTTATATACAGCAAAAATAGTATTGGTCCGAGTATTGATCCTTGAGGCACTCCACTTGTAATTATCATATCATCAGATTTTATCGTATTGTACTTGACAGTTTGTTTTCTATTCTCTAAGTAATTTTTAAACCATTTTAAACAGATTCCCCTTATTCCATAATGCTCCAGTTTTTCAATCAGAATCCTGTGATTAATTGTATCGAATGCTTTTGATAGATCAAGGAAGATACCGAGTGTATATTGTCCTTGATCTATTCCTTTTGTAATTTTATCCACAAGTTCAATAATGGCAAATTCTGTCGATCTATTTTTCCTGAATCTATATTGGTGTTTTGATAAAATTTGATTTTTATCAATGAAGTTAATTAACCTGTTGTACATGAGTTTTTCAAGTAATTTAGAAAAGCAAGAGAGAACTGAAATTGGTCTGTAATTTTCAAATTTATTATTTTCATTTGCTTTGAAGATTGGTGTTACTATTGCAAGCTTCAATTTTTCAGGAATAATCCCATTCTCGAATGTTAAATTAAATATGTGTGTTAATGGTTTGGCAATTTCTGTTGCAGATAATTTTATTATCTTATTACTAAAGTTATCATATCCTGGACTTTTGTTAGAATCCATGTTTTTAAGTACAGTTTCTAGTTCTAATTCAGTGATTGGTGCTAGGAACATGCTATTTTTGTAGTTACCAGTAAGATATTTCTTAAAATTTGTTTCTGAGCTGTTTTTTATATTCCTGGCCAAATTTGGTCCAATATTGGTAAAATAATCATTAAATTTATTAGCTATAGTTACTGGATTTTTAATTGTATTAGAAGTGCTAGTATCAAAAAATGTTCTAGGTAATTCTTTATTTTTTGCTTTTTTGTTAAGAATTTCATTTAGAGTTTTCCACACCATCTTTGTGCTGTGTTTATACTTTATTAGTTGTTCCTCATAATACATCTTTTTCGAAATTTTAATTGTATGGTTTAGTTTGTTTTTGTATTTTTTGTATTTTATTTCATTCTTTTTGCATGGTTTTGTCAAATAGGTTTTGTAAAGTTTGTTTTTTTGTTTTATTGAATTTAGCATGCAATTTGTCATCCACGGACTTTTGATTTTGATTATATTACTTTTACTCGATATTTTTGTTAAGGGAAAATTTGTTTCGTAAATTTTTCTAAATGAATCAGAAAATTCATTGAAGGCAATTTCAGGATTTGCATTAGTAAGTACATTGCTCCAAGATACGTTTTTAATTTCATCAGTGAAACAGTTAATATTTTTTTTGTTAAAAATTCTTGTATAATTTGGTTCATTGGTTGTTTGCTTTTCACACTCGTTATTATTATCCATGTTACACATGTGAACAATAGGTAAATGGTCTGATATATCACTAAAGATAATTCCGTTAAAGCTTTGATCAATTTTATCAATATTGTTGGTAAAGATGTTGTCAATTAATGTTGCACTATGAGAAGTTATTCTTGTTGGCTTTGTTGTAAGGGGAATAAAAGAAGAGGTAAAAAACTGCTCAGTAAATCGATTCGCATAATCACAAGACTCGGATTTAAGCAAATCAATGTTAAAATCACCCATGATGTAGCAGACTTTATTTTCTTTGTCAATTTTTCCTATTATCGCATCGACAGCATTTTGAAATATTTCCACTTTATTATTTGGTGGTCTGTAAATTACTCCAACAATTATATTTTTGCCCGTAGATATACTTATTTCAATGAAAATAGTTTCAATTATATCTTCTATATCTGTTTTAAGGTCATTACGAATATTATATTGCAGTTGTTTTGAAACATATATACCAACACCCCCACCTTTCTTATTTGTCCTGTTTGAACCGATGTACTCATATTTCGGTAGTTTGTAACTATCATCATTATAATCATTTAGCCATGTTTCAGTTAATCCTATAACTTTAAATGTAGTGTCTAAAGAGTTCAGTAGCTCCTTAAAATAATCAAATTTGTTTGCAATACTTCTTATATTTAGATGTAAGATTGAGAATTGATTTTTGTTAGCTATTTCTGCTATTTCCCCCCTTAATTCATTTGGTGAATAATAATTGCAGCTTGTTTTATTAATCTGAAGGGTATTATCTAGGTTGGTGTTATTTTCGTTTAATGCTATATTATCGTTTGATTTGAAGGGATTAAATTTCAATTGATTTAGTCTATCCATATCATTTTGTGACAACTCGTTTCCGAAACTTTGATTCATTGTAGCAAATTCATTGTCAGACAGTGTATGAAAAGGCATAGGATGAATATCATTTTCACGGCTTGTTTTAGACATTGTTAAAGTTTGTTAATAATTGAATTAATGAATATGTAAGTAATTAATATGTAGTAATTTACTGGAATGTGAAATATTTTGAGTATAATAATATTAACAAAGATAAGTAACTTGATACTTAAAAACATCATGTCGGCCTTGTCGGATTGAAAACAATTCCCTCAATAATCAGCTTGTCTTTCACAATTCTTGCTCTTTTCCCCTCAGCTTTCGCCTTTTTGAGTTCCGGATATAATGCTTGTCGTACTCTAGCGATTTCATCCGGGAACTGTTCTGATATCCCAATTTTTGTTCCTTTCAACTTATTGGCATTTCGCCTGATGAATTCTTTGTCCTGATGGTAGTTAAATTTAGCTACTATTGGACGCGGTTTTGGGTTTCCCTGTCTTTTACGGCCCAATCTGTGCGATCTATCGATCTTGACTTGCGCTTTTGCGTCTTTCATACCCAATTTGTCTTCTAGTAGCTGATGTATCATTTCGGTCGTGTTTTCATGTTCAATTTCGGGGAGGTTATAAAAAATTAAGTTGTCACGCATTGACCGGGCTTTAAGGTCAATGATGCCATTGTGTAAATCCGCATTTTCTTTCTCCAGTTTGTCCAGTCTTGCCTTAGTTTCTTTGTTGAAGGTCGTTGTTATTTCATGTGATGTTTTTAAATCCGTAATTTCTGCGTGAGCATATTCCATGGATGTTTTTACATCTCTTAAATCTTCTTCGAGGGTCTTCATTCTGCCTTCTATCACGTCGAGCTTGTCAAGTTTCTTCATCATTATTTTCAATGTATTGTGAATTTCATCTAGTTTGTTGCTTTGCCCGCCTTCTTCTTCCGTTGTTTTATCTGGTGTATTGTTAGGTTTTGATATTTTCGGTTGAACTGCTTTAGTGGGCGTATTTAAGCTTGTATTATTAGAACTTTGCGCACTGCGCTTGGAGGCATGTTGCTTGAACGCCATCTTGATAATGCCATCTTGAACGCCATCATTATACATATGAACATATCAGCCTGGCGAGTATTTTAAACGACACCAGAAAATAAAAAGGATAAGCAATTTACAAATAAGGAAACAGAGGCATAGAACGAAGCTTTGACTTTGGACGAGAACGCTGCGAATGATGTAGTTTCGATAACACTAAATTGTCAAAGACGGCGAAAAGGAAGCAAAATTCCGGCCCATCCTCATCGACGACAAAAAAAACAAAATAAATGCTCATGGTCAGCCGAACATGTCGAAAAACTGTTGTGTTGGACTATATCAAGGAATACATTACGCTTATTTACGCAATGCGAGTAATAGACCACAAC